TTACTCCAACCAACGTCCGTTCAGCAAGACCAGCTAGGTTCACGTTGAGTGACAAGTTCCATGTAGGCCAACGTACATTGCTCATCATCTTGTTTCAATTTCATTTTGTACGACTATTAACGTTGCACTTTTATGAGGCACTGTTGGTAGATGACTTTCGGCTATCCATTTGGCAGAATGCGTAGATGGGAGAGTGGAATCTTGTAAGCAGTGTCAATGTGAAAATAACGAATTTAGGCTAGCTTACGTTGTTCACGACACTCAGTGCAAATATTGGTTGATCGGTGGCGAGATTCGTCGTCTACGTGTGTTGGGCTTGGATTGTTGTTCCCTCAAAGACGTAATCGCTCCACGTCGACTTCAATCGCTTGGCCACGTTTCGCGAATGCCTGCCCACCTAACTTTCCTTCTGCACGTGCTGAGCAAGGTTGAAAGAAGCATCGCGGCGGTCAGACCATGAAATATCGGTCCGGTACGAAGAAGCTTCAGTTGCTACAACCTGTCTCCCAGGTTGAAACGTAATGGGTGGGATTGTCGTTGGTTGGAGACGCTAAGCAATATGGCTCAGAATAGACATCAGTGGCGCGATGCTGTACGGTTTGCCTGGGTAACTTTCGTGTCCCATAGAAAACGATCAACAACACACACAAACAAAATATCAAATAATGTACGATGAAACAAACAAAAATATTGTTACTGTTGTTACAATAATCCCACTGGAATGGTTCGATCTCAATTTCACTCTGATTTGTACCCTATTAACCCATCTGCCATAATAGTTCCCGCGTTGGCACCATACTTTTGCGCAAGACTATGCTATGATTCAATATTTTGTTGTGGTTTGTTGCGGTTAGTAGCATCTAACCCACTTACAAAACGTCGAATTATAGCACTGAATCTCCAATGGACCGGCTCTGAAAGAGCTGTCTATACAATGGTCACCCGGCGTTGCAAACAAGGTTTTTGTAACGAAAATACACTTCCTGGGTACAAGTATATGAATGAACTGACAAAAGATTACCGGATACGCATGCCTGACGAGCGGCCATGACCGCGAAACCGGTCGTGTGCTTCCAGGGAAATTTCGTCCAGTCATTTGCATACTACTTATTGCGTAAAGTTACCGCGAACTTCACTATGTAATACTTCAAATCCAATCAATACATTCCTCACCTGATTATACGTCCGGACTCGTGGATTACTGTGGTTTATATAACACAGTCAAGAGAGCCGATTCACACCAATGAGACATTTAGGACACAAAGTACTTTTCCAGTTCAATCTTTGGAAAATGAAAACAATTCATCCGATGAACTGTTCTCATCATGGTTAAAGATGCTTACGTGATCAGGATTATTATCGGTAAACAGAGTCATCTTGTTCACAGTCATCATGTGGGTAATGGGGAAATACCACTGATTTCGTGATTCTCTGCTTACGTCATGATCTTTCAAAGCTTGATCAGTACTTCGATTTCACGTGATTAGCCTCATTCAAGCCAATAAAACAATCATTTGAATCCATAGAAACGGTGATAACATTAATATTAATAATAATAATTATTTTTAATCTATTTGGGCTAAATGATGTTAGGAGCCTATTGAAAAATCGATGCGCCATGTGTTGTGTGTTTATGGTGAATGTTATAATGTGAATAGCACAGTGATGTCCGTGGAGATTTGTGTTTACTGTCTTTTCGATTACCGTATGTAACCGTTCTCAAGGCAGGTTTTACAATCCAATGACTGACTTATTCTTATCTTGAGTTGTCTGCTGATTTGCCCAATGTATTCTTCGGGGCATTCTTTACAACTGATTTTGTAAATGCAGTTGTTTTGATCTTGCAATTCGACCGGATCTTTGGCTCTCATGAGATGGTGTTTCAGAGTGTAATCAACCCGAAAGAATGTGTGTATGTTGAAATCACCGAGAAACTTTCTGATTGCTTCTGAAGTGTCTGATTTATGTGGAATGCCAATAGAGGCTACAGGGCTACACCGAACACAAGAGAAAAGAAAAACACCGGCCCACGGATAAAGCAACTCTGGCAAAACTATAGAACGAGCGATCGCTTTTCACACCATAGCCGAAGGTCACACGATAGACTACGACAACCCTAAAATGGTCCAAATCGCATTTCGAACATGCACTGAACGCTCGTATGCCGAAGCTTTGGGCCTTAACAACCACTCTGCATGTGTCAACAGAAATGACGGAATCGATATCCCGAGTATCTGGACTACCCTAACATCCCCAACGTGCAATCACGACAAAGTTCACGGTGCCACTTGACCCCATCTGACAATGGGAGTTAGTAAGACGGACAACGAATCATTCAGCCCACTACACACACATACATAGAGACACACACACACACACGCACAAACACACAAATACGATGAAATATCCGTAAACTTGTGATCCTTTCCTCTGCGTCATTTGATTGGAAAACCTGCCTTGAGAAAGGTTAGCCATGGTAACCGAGATGTCAGCAAGTATGATTCTCTACCGACATCGCTGTGTTATTAACACTATGACATTCACAATAAAACAACACATGGCGCATCGATTTTTCAATACACTCCTAACATCATTTGTTAACTTCTCATTGATAAGTATGATCTATTGACATGAGATACACACCAACGTCTGCCTTCATCGACTTCATTGTAGAAACATTTGGACGCATATTTCAATTCGGGTAAATTGAAGAAATTAATTCGATTCCATTTAGGGATGAATTTTATCGTATACAGAATGAAGGAATGTGATGTGAATAGTGGATAACACACTCGCCTGTTGCCAGTACGTGGTTCCCTGTTTCGACTCTGTGCATATTTACACGAAAGAAAACAGGATATCAATAGACTGTCGGTGTATGAACATCGCTGTCTACGCAACATTGCGTGAATTTGGTGGGACAGCCAGACGAGCAATGCTGAGGTCAGGCGCAAAGTTTTAGGTAAACGCGATCGTCCACTGGAGCAAGTGGTCGACCTCCATAGATTACGTTGGTTGGGGCATGTGGTACGCATGTCACCAAATAGGTGGCCACAGCGAGCGATGTTTGCCGAGGCAAGTAGTGGGTGGAATAAAGCCAAGCGTGTTCAAGCTGAGACCTTGCGTGAGGGTATGAGATCCCTAACCAGGAGTATGGGTCACATAAGTGCCGTTGGGCTCCCTGGATGGGGACTTCGGGATGATCATACCCGATATTAAGACACACTGGGTGATATGGCTGAGTGTCGTAAACCGTGGGGTTCGTGCATCTTGTCAATTTCTCTGTTGTATTAGTTCACTAAAGTTCCAAATTTTCTCTTTGATCCTGCTTTCAACCTTTGCTGTTTTTCTCCTATTGCTCATCCAAATGGGCAGCCAAAAAAGACAGCAACCAAAACCGGTGCACAATAGTGCATGGTTAATGGTTGTACAAATTTAAACTGAAGTGAAAAATTTTACGACTGATAAGAGCGTATAAGTTCAAGGAACTGAACGATGCTTTCCGAGGGTTTCAAGTCACCTTTCCTTATTCGTCGTGTGGTGAACGCCCGTCTTATCTAACTCCAATTAGTCACAAATTCCGAATTCTCTTTGAACTCACATTATATACTAACAATGAAGGTAGCAACTAAACACAAAAGAATCAACTTCGAAATCAGTCAAGCTGATCTTGATATAGTGTAAAAACAATTTGGAGCTCACTGCACATATTTCGCTGCACTTATAGCCTGGTCAAAAGCGGAACCCAAAGACGTTCTACTCATCCAGATGTCACAGAAACAACGGCGGGACTGCCGAGTACAAGAGGCTTGTCAACAACACAACCACGTCACTCCCATTCCGGGGCTACGTTGGTGACTCCAGCCGGCGATCAGTCTAACAAGCCGCTTGACAGAGAAATTGGGCGAACTGGACCCACTTCGGCGGATGAGAAGTGTGAAATGAAACCAGCTCCAGCGGAACCAGTGAGCGTAACCAGCCTGAAAACTACCGTTGGTCCGGTACAAGCCAAACTGTCCGAATACTGCATTTTGAATAGCAGGTTGGTGGTCATTTCCGTTGGCACTTCTCAGGCTTTCACTTGGGCAATGATATGAGACGGTTTTTAAAATAATTTTCTATCCTGTCCATAAATTTATTGCCAAATCACGCAACGCGGTTGCTATGGTGATTTGAATCTGCGGGCAGTGAAACACAATGGTTATTTCATTTACCAGTTTTACTCTCGTCATCTAGCCCCCGCAAATCGCCGGTTCTTATTTATTTATTTCAACACAGCCAGTTGCTTAGAGCTGGCAAATATGCCACAACATATGAAAAAATTCCGTAGTAAATGTTTATAAATTATGTGGGCATGTTTCTTCCCGGTTGCCCTGAACGAGGAACGAGGATAACCTCGGGGTCTCCACCGGGAGCCCTTAACTAGAAAAACAGACCGGTGAGACAATGGTACTGAGCTCAGAATCCGAGTTGCTTCCGCTGAATTGGAGCACACTTGATACTCTCATTCTGATGTGTAATGTTGATCTCTGCGGTTTTTATGTGCACATTTTGGGCACATTTTGGTGAAGGACGAGAACCATAACAGTTCAGTTTTCGCAATCGATTAGTCCATGCAAGCACACGTGCGTGACCACATCTACAGAGTGGACCATGTGCAGACTATTTTGTCATTACTGCTTCACCGACACAATTTGTCCGATTGATCGTGTCATTTAACTGACAAAAGCATTTGACCGGTTGAATGAGGCATGGAATAATAAACCTTGGAAGTAAAGTGGACTAACTTAGGTCCACTGGCGGGCGACATTGCATTTGGCCCGAAACCAGCACAGCGGATAGGCTCATCCGATCATGCTGTTGTGATCTATTCCCGTGTGTCCCCCTAATCACCTAAACAATCAATAACATTTATGATTACTGTTGTCCTGTTAAAAGTCTATATGTGTTCAATGAAATGATTATTTCTTCCCTACCAAAGTCGTTGCGACCACAAATGACAGGTGCATACACATCTCACAATGCTGTCAGGTATTACTGCAGATTTAATAGAACTGAAGTGAATAGATTAAACGCATTATTCTCCGATGATATTCCGAAGACTGGAAACAGCAAATACCTGTGGCGAGGTATCAGACCTTTCTGTGGTAGGAAGAAAGTACGGCCGTAGTTGGATGTGGATGTTGACAATCTCAGTGCAGCACTCCTGCGCCAGTTATCAGACATTCTTCCTGCCTACTCATCGCAAAATGTTTGTAATGTGGAACCATTGTCAAATTGTGATATGTTTAAACTTTTAATTGATTGTATGTCGTTTTCTGCTGCCTACCCGGATGGTTTATCTCCAACTCTCTTAAAATTTGATGCTGCTGTGGTATGAATAGAGAAGTCAGAAACATGGGTTTGCACAATGTATCCATGGTCATTTCGCTGCATCTGCACACGTGCATACTGCAGTCAAAGTCATTTTATATAGTCAGTGAGATAAGGCGTTTGTGTTACTGTGTCGTGTTGTGCGTTGTGATTAGCAATCATGTCTTCATTTCACGGTAGTNTTATCTCACTGACTATATAAAATGACTTTGACTGCAGTATGCACGTGTACAGATGCAGCGAAATGACCATGGATACATTGTGCAAACCCATGTTTCTGACTTCTCTATTCAAATTTGTGACGGGAAAACATTGCTTCCAGCTGCTGTGGTAATCACCTCCATTGTGAATGAATCTGTTTACACTTCTACTGTCCCCGATTGTTGGAGGCCGGCCTAAATTATACTGATCCCCAAAGCATCCAAATCTTATACCCTCCCCAAATGTTTTCATCCCATAGCGTCAACATCTTCAGCTTTTAAGTTGACTGAAAAGGCCATCCTCAAACGCCTTCTGTAGTCTATAAACATTCCCAGTGATCCGTCACAGTTTGCTTACAAGCCTAATTGATCCATCTCAGATGCAGTCTCTGCTCTTATTCATTTTATCACCAAGTCTTTTAACAACTCTGTTAAGTCTGGTCGGTGTGTTTCTCGGGAACTACTCTTCAGCATTTGATTCCATTCCTCGGTTTAAGTTGTTACAAAAACTGGAATCGTTTGAATGCCCCAAGCAGTTGTTAACTTGGCTATCTAAATATTTTACTGAAAGAATTCAAACCACCAGATTGGGGAAAGCTTCATCTAAGCCCGTAGTTAACAACTCCGGAGTTCTTCAAGGAGCTGTGCTGTCCCCATATTTATTTTCCACTTATATTTGTGATATTCCCTGTGTTTCTTCTGCGCGTATTTTGAAATGTGCAGATGATGTGTGCTGTGCCAATCCTTTTCTTCTTACTCCGATCTAAGCTCCTTCATCAACAATCATGAACAAATTCAGTCTGTCTCCTCCTTATCGGGGCTAGGCTTNCCCCAGTGAATGTGTGTGTTGCGTGTTTATATAGCTTTGCATGCTCTCCACATCGGACAGACCCAAAAGTGATAAATAACAAATATAATTAAATATCTTTGTGTAACCATAAGTAGCGATTTCATTGATCAACCGACATCCACAACTGCACTGGTAAACTGCCACGCCTATCATTTCAAATTCGAAAGCTGAGACAGTTTCGGGAACCTCAGTCAGTTATTTCTGTGTTTGTTT